AAATACTTTAACAGTACTGGAACATAATAAAATGCATGTGAAAGTGCTGCCAGTTGGGCAAAATAAAAAGCATATCATCTAATGACAGGAAGACATGATCAAAATGCGAGTCACAAAGGGAGTGAAGAAGATGGGTGCTTTGAACATAGGGAGATACACAGGAATGATTGGGGTTGCTTGTGGTCTAAAGGCTGCAAGTTGGATTATGCGGGGGGGATGGTCATTAAAGGGAAACATGGTACCAGTGTTTAGATTTTTCAGTCAAAACTGGACTAGGATATATTTGCTTGCATTTGACAATGAGAGTGTTGTTTTTAGGTGAAACCTGATTTCCTGGACTGGGTCAGCTCTAGTACTTTAATAGGAAGCAGCGTTGGTCAAGGATTGGGTTTCATTTCAGGGGAACTTTCTTTGACTTTTTTCCTTGAACAGATATGTTAGGGTTTTAGGTATTATCTCCCAACAACATCTGTTTGGTTTCAGTTATTTCAAAGACTGTATAGTGGGTTTGGTGAGGTATATGCCAAGAAAAGAGAGCTATAGTCTAATGGTACAGAGTTTTAGAAACCAGGGAATATTGCACTAAAATCTTATATTGCTTTGTATTTTATGAGGTTGATCACTTTGATAAATCCTGTTTCGTGTCTGAGTGTATCACTGAGGGGAGGATTTGGTGAGCCATGGTACCTGCTCAAGAGCAAGAGCTTGAAAGATTTCCAGGATCTTTAAAAGAGGAGCACTCTGCTTCTAAGATGTTTTGAAAACTGTTTAGGTCTTTTTCTTTCTTCATCAATGATAAAGAGTAACTGGATATTAGAGTGACAGCTAGATTTTTCCATCCTTGAATGATCTGATTGAATCATCTTATCTCCTCCATGATTTTCTCCTTATTTTCCTGCTAATGAATGGCCAAGCAGAGGTATTTGCCCTCCTTCTACTTACCTTTTGTCATTAATTTTTCAAGCTTTACTAGTCTGTCCTGGTCACCTTTCTGAGAAAGTTCTGTCTTTCAAAGATTTATACTCAGGAGTGGTATGCACCCATGTTTCCAGTAAACAGTCTGCCTTGCAACTTCAGGGCGTGGGGGATTGGGGGCGCGTTGTGGCCTTCCTATCCTGTCCTTTTATCTTAAATTCACTTCAGTGAGTCAGTTTCAGGTGGATTTCTGATTGTTGTCCTTCTTATTTTAAAGGCCCAGAGAGAACCTCATTTATTCTGAGCTTCCCAGAATAACTTCTATAACCAGCCACTTCCTTTGGTTGTGAGGCAATCCCGTTAAGTCTATTTCAGGGCCAGCCTTTCCAAGAGACCTCTTTTTCTCAGAAAGGCCGTACCTAGCAACTCTCTTGCCCCTTCATTCAGGAGTAATCACTCAGACTGTGTGCTAGACTCTGAGAGATCCAGAGATGAATCATATTCAGGTCCTACCCACAAGGAGCTTGTAAACCAGAAGGGGAAATATGATAAGACACACACATAAATAATGATCATACAAGATAATATGGTGATGGCAGAAAGAGGTGCAGATCAAGGGCTCTGAAGGTTCACAGGAAGGAGTGATCATGTCCGGATGGGGATGTTTAGAGAAGACTTGTGGACAGATGGCAGTTGAGTTGAGCATTGGAGAAACAGCCTTTTTGTGATGGACTTTGAGTCTTCCCTTTCTAGCTTTGCAAAGCAAACTTTTTAAAAGCAGATAAATTAATAGATATTGGGAGTTGAGATTATTTCTGGCAACAACCATTCGATACTTCATCTGATCCTTTCATCTTTATTAAACAGTTAAACAGACATCTTATTCAAATATAAAGTAATTAACATGAATGATAAGTCTAATAATGAATGAAATCTGGGAAATTGTATGCTGCATGTTTCTTTTTTTAAGATTGATGGATTTATTTTAGAGAGCACGAGCGGGAGGGGCAGAGGGAGAGGGAGGGAGACTCTCAAGCAGACTCCCTGCTGAGCGTGGAGCCTGGTATAGGGCTCTATATCTCACGACCCTGAGATCAGGGCCTGAGCTGAAACTAAGTGTCAGATGCTTAACTGCGCCACCCAGGCACCCCAAAATTCACCTGTTTTTGTTGTTGTTGTGTTTGTTTAAAGTAGGCTCCATGCCGGGTGTGGAGCCCAGTGTGGGGCTTGAACTCATGACCCTGAGATCAAGACCTGAGCTGAGATCAAGAGTTGGATGCTTAACTGACTGAGTCATCCAGGTGCCCCTATGCTGCATGTTTCATGAGTGATCTAAAGCAATGCACTTGGTCTTAAGGCAGTTTTGTTGTCAACTGTATATAAATAGCTTTGTCCTGTGATAGAGGTAGCAATTTAACATGGAATAAAAAGGATCGTAGGGGTGCCTGGCTCATTCATTCAGTTGAGCATCTGACTTTGGCTCAGGTCATGATCTCAGGATCCTAGGATCAAGCCCCAACTTTGGGCTCTGGGCTCATCCGGGAGTCTGCTTTTCCCTTTCCCTCTGCCCCTCCCCCTGCTCATGCTGTCTCGCTCTCTCTCTCAAAAAAAAAAAAAAAGGATCCTGAAGTATTAGTCTTTCTACTTTCAAATACATACCTTCTCGTTACCCTAGAAAATGGATCTGGCGTATATTCCGTGGGCTGTAGATGTTATGAATAGGCCATTTCTGTAGCAAAATCAACTTAGTTGCAATTAATGTATTTAATTACTAAAGTCAGAGTGGTAAGATTAACTAAGGTTGGTCTATATTTTTTAGCTTGTTGGGGTGTTTAGTGAGCAAAATTTGTTTGCTCATTAGGTTTCATTATTTTAATCCTGAGCCTCAGTCAGAAAATATTGAGAACACCAGTTTGTTTTCATAAAATCTTTTGCTTGAGGGACACCTGGGTGGCTCAGTTGGTTAAGCGTCTGCCTTCAGTTCAGGTCACGATCCCTGAGTCCCGGGATCGAGCCCCGCATGGGCTCCCTCCCTGCTCAGGGGAGAGCCTCTACCCACCCACCCCCAGCTTGTGCTCTCTCTCTCTCAAATAAATAAATAAAATCTTTTAAAAAATAAAAATAAAAGGTTAGCGTCTCTCTTCACTGTAATCAGTACCTTGTAAGATCTCTTAAAAATAAACTTCTTTAGGTTGCTTAGATTTCTTTGATCTCAGTATATGTAAGAGAATAGTGTATAGACCCTGTGCATACGGTGATGAATGAAAATGTCATGGGACCTGAGCTGAGAGGACCATACTTGGTTATTGAGGACTAAAGATTTTATCTAGTCATTTCAACTGTGATTCAACACTCTTCACTTTAATTCCCTCCAGAACCTCCAAGATCATACTGCTTCCTAGTACTTAAGAGTTCCTGTTGAGGTATAGAGCTGCTTGTTGGCCTCCAGCACCAGAAATTGGCTCCAAATCTTTTCCCATTACATCATCACCCACTAATGTCATTACACCAGAGTGAAATCTGCTTTGAAGATTGTACTCTTGTTTTCCTTCCATCTCTTTCCTCTCATCGTTTCCTTTAGAAGGAAAAAGAAAAAAAAATTAGAGACCTCTTGGACAATCCCAGGCAAACATTTAAGGGGGAATCAAACATCCTCAGTCTAAACCTAGATTTATCAGTCTTCATTCCACTCTGCCCAGCATGTGTCCTTATGGAGTCTAGAAAGGAACACGTTTGGTCATGGGACACCTGACTTTGGTGCTTTTCTCTCAGCCCTTCAGAACTAGTTCTTAATGATTTACATAGCTCTCTGCCAGCATCTTGTCACTGGCCTGTTAAACTTTTTAAAATTTCCCCAGAATAGAAATTCTTAGGACATCACTAAGTTTCTTATTCTTTGTGTTTAATTAAACTGTTTCTTGCATTTAAGTATTTGCCAGATAAGCATTTAAGCCATCTGGAGTTTTTTACTTTCCCCTTGTAAATCTTATAAAACTTACAATATTACCTACAGTTAAAATTGATACAGGGATCATTGCTCATCTTCCCTCCCCCATCACAAAAGCAGTTGATTGCATGCAGGTTCTGACCCTCTTTTCTCTATCCTAAATTTGATTCCCCATTGTTTTTCAACCACCTTTAAAGCTTCCAGTTGATGGTGTGCTTTGGCTTTTTCCTAACAGAAAGGTTCAGGTAAGGAAAGAATTGGGAAGTAGTTTCAGTTCAGAGACTTGGTGCTACCCACTCAATTATTGGCCAAGGCTTTAGCACTTCTGTGCCCTCTGAGGCAGATTAGCTTGAGATTAGAAGAAATAATAATGAACAGTAGCCTCTAAGAAATGGGACCACAATGTCTAAAACAAAAGAATAAAATGGGCTCTTAAGACTTGGGTTTACATTTCTGTACAGTATTAGTCTTTGGGACTCTTAATCTATCTGCTGCAGGCTATGGCGTGGAGTGTGAGAAACCATGGTGAACTTGAAAAAAACAATGGAGGGAATGGCATTGAAAATTACGGACCAGACTAGGGCACCAGCCAGTTGCCCTTTTTGTCTCCTCCTAAGATAAGACATTAAAAGGCCTTGATTCATACTAAGATTTCAGTTTGAATTTCTAGTAATTTTAGGTCTTCTAGTTAGAGCTCCTTGATAGTCTCTGTGGTATAAGTTGGATAGCAGGGGAAACTTTTTCCATATGTTTTTGCTAACATTTAAGTCTGTGTTAAAAAACCTCTTCAGCACAATTATTATTATTTTTTTTAAAGATTTTATTTATTTATTTGAGAGAGAGAGAATGAGAGAGAGAGAGCACATGAGAGGGGGTAGGGTCAGAGGGAGAAGCAGACTCCCCGCCGAGCAGGGAGCCCTATGCGGGACTCGATCCAGGGACTCCAGGATCATGACCTGAGCCGAAGGCAGTCGCTTAAGCAACTGAGCCACCCAGGCGCCCTTCAGCACAATTATATACCTTCTCAGATTGAAAAATTGAATTAGTGAAAACAGCCATAAGGAAAAATATAAATAACTTGGACAGAAAGTCTGTCTTTATTACTTCTAATGTATCTCATGTGTGTGTTTGTTTTCAGTTGTCAAAATGTCCACAGAAGGAGGATTTGGTGGTACTAGCAGCAGTGATGCCCAGCAAAGCCTGCAGTCCTTCTGGCCTCGTGTCATGGAAGAAATTCGGAATTTAACAGTGGTAAGAAAGAACGAGAAACTTGCAGAGTGTAAAGAGCTATGAGATGAATAACCCAGTACTTAGAGTAAAACATTTTTAATTTCAAACGCATAGGCATAGTTCATTCCTGACCTCTGGGTGGGAACATGAAAATATAATTCACCTTAGGTGAGGTGACTACAAGGATTTTTTTTTATATCTTAGTGGCTTTCCTGAGGCATGTGGGTAGATAGTGGATGCTTTGGCTCAGAGGTGGTAGCTTAATGTGAAGTGTATCTTTTAGAGAGGCAGAAGAGCAGAACTCTCACCTTCCTTTAGTAGCTGTAGCTCATTTCTTAGTCCTGATTCAGTGGCCCTGCCAAATTTCTAGAATCTGGTAAACACTATTGGGCAATTTATTCAACAACAAATCTATTGTAAGCACGCACTCTTTCTGGGTATTAAAAGATACACTTAGATCAGGGTTTCTCAACAGCAGCTTTATGGGCATTTTAGGCTGGATAATTCTCTGTTGTGAGGAGCTGTCCTGTGCATCATAGGATGTTTAGCAGTATCTCTGGCCTCTACTCATTAGATGCTAGCAGCAATCCTCCTCCAGTTTTGACAACCAAAAATGTTTCTGGACATTGGCAGATGTCTCCTGGGGGCTAAAGTCATCTCATTGAGAACCACTGGCTTAGAAGAATCAAATATTACCCTGGCCCCTGTGGAGCTTACAATCTAGTAATTACAATCAGAGTTATTTATTCAGTGAATATTTATTAAATACTTACTGAATCAGACACAGTAATGAGTCTGAAGCAGTAAAAGGTCAAAGTGCTCTGGGATTACAGAGGACATAGTGCTTATTCCTCCCTGGTTGAGTTAGGGAGGCTTTAAGTAAAGGGGACATTTTTTTGGATCTTGAAATATGAGAAGCGTTCACCAGATGGAAAGGATAGGCAAGTATATCTTCAGCAGAGTATGGCATTTGTAAAGGCCCGGAGGCCCAGAGGGGAGGGCCTTATGTTTTGAGGACCAGCAAGAAGTTCAGAGTGGCTCGGGGTTACTATGTGGGTAGTACGATGGGGTAGGAGTAGAGTGGTATGGCAGTGGTAGCAGGAGGTGTGATACATTAGAATTAGAAAATTTTCAGAGTGTAGTGTTAGTTCCTTAATGAAAAATGTTCCCTTTGGTGTCATTTTAGCAAATACTGAAGGATCTCTCTGTTTCAGATGGGTCATTCCTGCCCTGAAGGCATTAAGCATCCTGGCAGAGGAGACACTGGACTCCTTCCTAATGTAGAACTAATTTTGCACTTTCTTAGAGCTAGTGGCCTTTAAACCTCAGACATACGAGGTCAGTTTATTTGTTTACTCAGCAAATACTTACTATATACCTGCTGTGGCTGTGCTGGATACTGTGGATCCAGTAGTGAGCCCTACAGACAAGATCATTGCACTCACAGGACATGCATGCCTGTGGGGGAGGTAAACTGAAACAAGTATTGAGTAAATAAAATAACTTCTCATTATGGTAAATGCCCCCACTGACTTCAGGGATTAAAAAAAAAAACAAAAACCAATCTAAGATTCATATTTTGATGTACTTGTGGGTCGCGTTTGTTTATATGGGGCATTTTCAGCAACTGAACTTGGCATGGCCTTTCTCAGAGTGGCTTGTGTTCACAGATGAATTTCCACTGAAAATTCATTGTTTCTTTTCTGTAGTGTAAAGGTGGTAGTTATCTATACTGTCTCAGATGTAAGAGAGAGGAGGAAAAGAAATGATTAAGTAGGGTGTTTTGTTCATATTTTAAGTGGGTAATCTCACAGTAAAGCTTATGAGGTTTTAGTGCAGGAGTCGGCCCGGTGTGAAGCTAGTGCCCTCCTGGGCTGTGGTGGGATTAGGCCCGTGCCGCAAGTCTGTACTCCAGCTTGAGCGTAGAAGCAAAAATCCAGGATCAGCCAAGTGGCCGGATAAACTCCGGAGATTCCAGCTCAGCACTTAACTTTTCTGTATTTTAAGTTTTGATTTTTTAAAAATTGTGGTAAAAAGCATACAACAAAATGTACCATCTTAACAATTTTAATTAAAATGTCTGCAGTTCTGTAGTGTCAAGTTTATTCACATTCTTATGAAAGCGATCTCCAGGACTTTTTCATCTTGCAGAACTGAAACTCAAACATAAGTGGGATCATACAATATTTGTCTTTTTGTGACGGGCTTATTTCACTTAGCATAATGTCTTCAAGGTTCATCTGTGTTGTAGCGTGTAACAGGATTTCTTTCCCTTCTGAAGCTGACTAGTATTCCATATATACATGTGTGAACCACATTTTGTTTAGCCATTCATCCGTCAGTGGGTGTTTGGGTTGCTTCCCCCTCTTGACTGTAGTGAATGATGCTGTTAGGAATATGGGTATTCAAATTCAAAGACTCGGCTTTGATTTTTATTCGACTTGGCTTAATGTTCAGGTTTGATTGCCAAAAAAGCAGATTGTGGTGGTAACCAACTTTTGTTATTTAGACAGCTAGCTAGTGCACCAGAGGTTCAAAGTGGATTACTTTGAGGGATTTAGTTTTGGTTCATGTTTATGAATGAAGAGGAAGACCAGCAAGGACGGCAGTTGTCTTTAATGATTCTTCTGTTGATGACTGTAGTTTTCTCCCCTTGACAAAGACCACTACCATGGGATCCCTTACATCAGACGCTTAGAACAAAGTTTGGCATTTAATAAGTGCACAGTAAATATTTGAATGAATCAGACTCCTCCATCTCAGATTTAGTGTGAAGCAACATCAGTGCCAAATTTGAGAATACAATCTAGGAAAGTTGGGGTGTCTTTCCCTTTGTAAGACTCTTATTTTGCCCTCTGCCTGTGGCACATAAAGGCATCTGCTTCTCTGACTGCACCTCGGCCTGTGTAGCGTGGCCAGACATGTTGCATTTAGACTGTGCCTTTCCGGAACTCAGCAGCACTTACAACCAGACTTCCTCAGATATGTTAGAGCCTCTTAGGTTGACATCTCCAAATGTCTAACAGATTTTTTAAAAAATTCATATGTTCTGACTGTCCAAACATAAATAAAACTTTTGAGAATATTCATAAGGTGTTGTGGTCTCTAAGACTGGGACAAAGATTGTTCCAAAAACAAATTGAAGTTTGCTAGATGTCTATTTCATGACATATTGGGAACTCTGGCCTCAATCATTTTGGTCTGAGCTTTGCAAAAGCAATTTATCTTTCATCTCCACTTGGCCATTATGTTCTTCTCACTCTTAAAAGCACTGTAATTGTCCATAAATTCAGGTGACGTTCAGCTGGGATTGAAGTTGGTTAAAAATCATACCAAAATGATTGTACGCTAGGATGATTGTGCAAAATACTGTATTCCTGCTCAGCAGGGCTCTGGGAACATTAACAGACTTCTTGGCATTGAGTTTTACTCCTCTGAAGACCTTTTGAAGGTGGGGAAGAAAAAGCTAACTTTGGTTTTTTGAGGGCAGATGGGGAGGCGACAACGCTAAATCTTGAAAAAAATCTCATTTACCCCTTATTCCTTCCATCCCTTTCAGCCTTCACTTAGCTGTAATTTGATGCCTAGGCCACTTTCTTTTAATTGCCAGGTACATCTTTTCATTCTTTGGTGCCTTCAGATTGGACAATGACATTTCTAACATTACAGTCAAACCAGATAACCATTTAAATAAAACCTTGGAAATGAAAGTTTGTGGACTATTAGAAAATAGGTCTTGTGCTGTTTGAGCCCTTCCTGTAAGAGCAGTGCCGCCTAAAGGTTAGTCTGTATGAACCACACGGGGATCTTGTTTAGAATACAGATTCTGAGTTAGTACGTTTGGAGTGGAACCTGTGATTCTGCATTTCTTTTGCGTTTCCAGGTGATGTCATTGCTGGTCTAAGGACCTCACTTTGAGTAGCAAGGCTTTAACCCTCATTGTGGGTCATAGTCATCAGGGGAGTTTTCAAAACACATGGTGCCTGGACTCCACCCCTTAGAATTCCTGGTTCAGTTACTCTGGGGTAGAGCCCAATCCTCTTGTTTTTCAGAAGCTCCCCAGGTGTTTCTAACAGGCAGTCAAGGTTGAGAATCACCGCTTTGGAGAGGATTAGAATCTTGACCTACCTGACTGGGTAGGCCTGGAAAAGATTTCTCATCATTTGAAACTCCCGATATTCTTTAGTGCAGCCTGAGACCCATTGACTTTTCCTTGGCTCCAGATTCTCATTGAATGTATTCAGACTTCTTGAAACTTGGCAGTTTCAAATGGCAGCATTTTTAATGTAGTTCTTTGGTTGTGGTCAGGAGCACGAGAATTTTCTGAGAGAATCTGTTCTTCCACCTTGCTGATATCACTCCCAAGAGTAGGGGAAAAAAAGTATGTGTCAGTTGTTCTTCCACTTGGATCAGCATCAGGAGAAGCTACATGGTATTCACATCAGTTGCGTGGTTGCCAGTGACAAGGGGTCACTGAATTGAAAGGCAATTAAGTGGACCTCAACCTATGGCTGGTAAGAGTGCTGCCCTCTCCAGTAAGCTTGTCGTAAATCCTTACACGTGACTGGAAAGCTAGGATGAGACTATAGAAGACTGGGTTGTTGTCAGCGATAATGAACCACACATGCGTATCTGAAGATTCACTTCACACACTGCCCCTTGGGATCTCAGGGTTTGGGAATCATGAAAAAGTTTCCCAAAAGGTTTTTGAGGGGGAGACTTAGAGCAGGGTTTTTTGGTAAGTTTCTGCCTCATTTTAGATCTCTCCAAGGTTGGGACCTTTTGTTGTTGGTTTTGATTGAAGAATAGTCTCATAGAAATTGTAAAAGCAATATTCTCTTTGAGGTTGGGGAAAGAGGTCGTCTTATCAGCTTTGGGCTTTGGTTAAGAAACTTTAGAGCCCAGGCACCTGCGTGGCTCAGTCAGTTAAGTGTCTGCCTTTAACTCAGGTCATGATCTCGGAGTCCCGGGATCGAGCCCCACGTTAGGCTCCCTGCTCATCGGGGAGTCTCCTTCTCCCTCTGACCCGCCCCTCTCTTGTGTTCTCTCTCAAATAAATAAAATCTTAAAAATCTTAAAATAGGGGCGCCTGGGTGGCTCACATGGTTAAGCGTCTGCCTTCGGCTCAGGTCATGATCCCAGGGTCCTGGGATCGAGCCCCGCATCGGGCTCCCTGCTCATGCTCTCTCTCTCCCTCTCTGTATCTCTGTATGTCGTGCTCGCTTCGGCAGCACATATACTAAAATTGTATCTCTGTATGTCAAATGAATAAATAAAATCTTTAAAAAAAAAAAATCTTAAAATATATTGTTAAAAAAATTCTACATATGAGTGAAATCATACAGTATTTGTCTTTCTCTGACTGACTTATTTAAAAAAAAAAAAAAGGAATTTTAGAGCAGTCATGTGGAAATACATTAAATAACCAAGCCCAGTGAGAGTGCACGTGCAAGCAGGTTAGACCGTGTGGTCATAATCTTGTGCTGTGTGTGTATCATCCTGGGAGGCCTTCCAGAGGAATTATCCCCAGCATTCTCCTTGGCATTTCTGTTTCGCATCATCATTTTGTGTGATCTGCCACACAAGAAGGAAGACCAGTGATTGATTTCTGTGGTTAAATGTTTTTTTAAATCCCTTTAGGGTCTGGCCCCAGTCCAGCATCCTCTTACCCACTGCTTCTCTCAGTACTAAGATCATACATTTAAAACTTAAATAGGCCATGTTTTTTGTGTTGCTGTACTTCTGCTTCTGTCTGAATGACATTCTCATACTTTTCCAACAAGCAATTTTTGTAACATCCCTTAGACACAGTTCAGATGTCAGCCCTTCTGCGGAGCATTTGCCAGCTCCTCTCGTTCATTCCAACCCCTCCCCCTGCCCTGCCGGCAGGTTATTTCCTTTCTTGTCCCTGTGGGATTTTATACCCCCACCCTGCTATAGCATAGGGGGTTATAATATTTTTCTATGGCAGTCTCTAACAATTAAACTATAATCTGTTCAAGGGTAAGAATAGATTTGCATCTTTTACACAGTAGCAGGTACCATACACTCACTTTTAGTTGAGTTGCATGAATGAGTCAATGAAAGAGGAGAAAAAAATAAGAACAGAAAGAGTATATCCTGCTGTCTTTTTTGGTGAGATTTTAATAATTTGGACTTGTAAAGCCCTGCCACTCCAGTGTTAGTTTTAGTAGAGACTTCATGGAAAATGTTTTACCTTCATGGAAAATGCTGGAAAGGGAAAAGATTAGAAAAAAAAATGGTGTTGGAGGTTTGTAGAGGTGAGTGGTCCCATGCTGCTTGTTGGGTTTGTGAGGAGGTATCTAGTGTTTTAGTGTGCCTTTTATCATAATAAAACTCTTCCTTCTGTAGTCATAAAAATGGATTCTGGGAAGGCTGGTGACCTTTTTCCAAAAGGCCCCACTGCCTTCTTTGACATATAGTTGAGGGTTTCTGTTGGTTTTGGAAAAGAAAGTTCGCTTATGCACATTCATTATACTAAATCTCAAGTAATAGCTGCTCCTTCCATAACGTGATGGTGCAAATTCCCAGGTGAGCACCTTGGGCTTGGTGAGTCACATTTCAGACCACTTATAGAATCTGGCACTTAACACCTGGGCCCAGTAGGGGTTTCACTGATTTTAGCCAATCTCTGCCTTTGCACCCTTCTCTTCACTGCAGCTTTGAAACGCAGAATTGATTTTTATTTCTAGAATTACATCCATCACTGAGCATGTGTTTGAGTACCAGTAGCATCAAAATAAAAAAGGGCTTAAATCGCAAATAATTGAAGTAGTGCTGGTCAAAAAGCCCTTTCCTAAATCCTATCCACAGTAAAGTCATGTGGTTTCCTCCCAGCCCAGTCTTGTTTGTTAAAGAAAGAAGTGCCAGGGCTGTTCCAAAAAGGCAGCTGATAAATTCATCCTTTTTCCGCCATACTCTTCGGCTCCCACCCCCACCTCCAGGCAAACTTCGGAGACAAGGCCTTTGCTGCTGTGACGGGAAAGGCCCTCCTCCCTGATTTCTGGTGTCATTGCAAAGGCCAGAAGTAGCCAGTGTCAGCCAGTACTGGCTGAAGACAGCTGTGGGTCACCGTGGTCGGGTGCTGGCAGCACCTTGCCCTTATAGTCCCAGAATAGAAGAAAGAACTGGCAACTTAAAGGAATTCCCCGAGGCAAAAATCTCATTTTAACCTGCATATTGCAGACTTGGTAAGCTTTGGTGGGAGTGGGGGTGTGGAGGAGATGCTCATAATGCACCTCTGTATTGTGCCAGCAAAGAGTCTGATACCATTTGGGTCTGCTTTTCATGAGGGTGCTGTTAGATGGCATTGTAGTTTATCCTGAAATCTTTCAATTGTTTGAAACTCTGCATGGGTTAAGAAGAATTTTGCTCCAGGACTTGGATTCTCTTCATTTAATCGGTACCTCCTCTCCTGCTGTATTTTTGGAAAGGAGAGACTAGGCCAGTCACAGTGTTTCATGGTGCCTGACATGCCCTGCTGATTGTCCCCACATGTATGTCCCTCTTGTTACTCATTTCAGAAAGATTTCCGAGTACAGGAACTCCCACTGGCTCGTATTAAGAAGATTATGAAACTGGATGAAGACGTGAAGGTGAATTCATATTCGTTCTTATTATTCATATTGAAGCTATAATGGTGGGTAGGTTGTCGCTCACTTCTGCAGCGCTCAAAGTTTAAGCAGAATGAAAATATCGTTATTGTCTCTTGTTTTATTTGGCTCCTGTCTAAATTGTTAAGTGAGCTGAAATTGAACAGTTTTAATTATTATATGGTGCTTCTCTGGAAATTAGGGATATCCTGTTTTCCAGATGTTGATAATATGCTGAGGGTTTGCTTTTTGAATCACCCATCCTTTTCACTGTGCAGGGTAAATGGTAAACACGAATCATCAAATCAGCAGGACAGTGCCATCTTCTCAATTAGCATCTCATTGCAGTCGCTAGTTGTCAATGTGAGCTCTAAGAAATGTTTGATAATGATACTGATCCCGTTCTAACTTTTCTGTCTGTGAGTTGTTTTATGTGACTTAACGCCCCAGAGAAGGTTTCCTTGCAGGCAGCTATTTCTGTATTCCTAGGAGCCCACCTCCCATTTCAACTCTTGGAGAGAGAGCAACGCTCTCTCCTTATCACTCAAAACTAATAGTCCCTTGTGATTGTATAGAAAACTAACAGTTCACAGTAATTTCCCCTTTTATTAGTTCTCCTTCCTTTTCATGGACACCCTGTGAGATTTGATAGGATAACAATTATTAGTGCCGTCATAAAGATATGGAAGTGACTCACCCAGAGTAGAAGAACCAAGATCCCAGTTCTTTTACCTCCTGCTTCCTTAACTCCAGACCTCTTCCCATGGCTCTGTCCTGCACAGACCACCTCACCAAAGGTTCAGAGCCTTGTTTGATCAAGAGCTTGAACTTTGAAGTCAGACATGGCAAGGCAGCTTACATTTCTTGAGCACTTACTAAATGCCAGGCCCTGTGCTGGGTGCTTTTACATGTATCGTTTGATTCCCACAGCAACACAGGAAGGTTGTCTTTTTTTTTCGGTATGTGAAAAATAAAGCCCAGAAGGATGGGAATGGGAAGCCTGAAATTCTGTCTAAATCCATCAGTTCTCAAACTCATTATCTTTCCCCACATTGTCTCTCCTTGCATTAGAACCTAAACCCTGCCAATTACTGGCTCTGTGACCATGGGCAAGTCACTTCTCCTCTCCTAAACCCTAGTTTCTTTGAAAGTGTATTAGGAAAATAAGAAAGTGCATGGTAGGTCCTAGAAAAGTAAATGTTCTTCTCCCCTCTTCCTTTCTCCTACCTGCTACCTGCTTTGTCCCTACTTGTGGATTTATTTTACGTTGGGATCTCTTGAAGCTATCGCCTTCTCATTTTTCAAACCTTGCCCCATTGTCCATGGCAGGGCATGAGGGAAGGGACAAATGGATTGGTTTGAATGACATGTTGGTGATTGACAGGGAGGGCCTACGTCTGTTGCAGATGATCAGTGCAGAAGCCCCTGTGCTCTTTGCCAAGGCAGCCCAGATTTTTATCACAGAGTTGACTCTTCGAGCCTGGATCCACACAGAGGATAACAAGCGCCGGACTCTACAGGTAATAAAGATGCACATGGGGAAACTGGGCAAGCAGCTGCCTTTGCCTTCACCCGCTTCTCTTGCGTGGTTTTGGGCCAAAGATTGTTCTTCCTTAGATTTCTGTCAAGTTAATGTGTGAAATTGGCATCTTCCTTCACTGTTGTGAGGCAGACCTGCCCTATAGCCTTGACAGTATTTCCCCACCAAGAATCTCATTGCCAATTGTTGTGGTTTTCACAGCTCAGTGACTGAACTCTTCACTTGGTGAGCCCTCATTATAAACAGGCTAAAGTGATACCAATCTATTTCCAGATGTAAACAACTTCTGGTTGGAAGCTTGAGAGACGCCAGGAAAGGATAGTCCCAGGAAGAATCCATCTCACCTACCTCATTTGCCTTTTTGTTCCTTGTCTGCCTTCCTGGGAATCCCTTCCTTCTTCTTTTTCATTTTTTTAAAAATTTTAATCCAGAAAAAAATCAACATTTATATGGTATGAAGACCCTTGGTCATTGGCTCTGGAGGCCTTTCTCTTAACAGCCAAGCCTTAGTTCTTGGAGGAAAGGTTTCCTAGACATAAGAGGAAGGGTGTGACAGATAGAAGACACTGGCAATCTTTCAATAACAAAGCCAGGAAAGTAAATTGTTTTCTCCTTTGTTTCCCTTACCTCCAAATCAAAGATGCATGCATATTTATTCTACAAATATTTATTGAACACCCACAATGTGCCAAGCGCTGTTCTGGGCTCTGGGGATTAACACACAAAACAGACCTAAACCCCCACCCTTGGGAAACCTATATTCTAGTGCAGCTAAACATGGCAAACTTACTTTATGCTGCTTTGAAAGAAGCCTATGGCTCTAGAGAGATGCAGTTAAAGTTATCTTCAAAATCAATTCAAATTGAAAAATAAAATGAGCAAAACACTTGGACAGGCCCTTCAAAAAAGAAGATATCCTGGGTGGCTCAGTCGGTTAAGCATCTGACTTCAGCTCAGGTCATGATCTCAGGGTGCTGGGATAGAGCTCCACGTCGGGCTTCCTGCTCAGCGGAGAGTCTGCTGGAGATTCTCTTTCCCTTTTCCTCTGCCCCTCCCCCTGCTCATGTGTGTGCGCTCTCTCTCTCAAATAAATAAATAAAAAATGTAAAAAAAAAAAAATCCAAATGACCAGTAAACATATGAATAGGTGTGCAACATCATTGTACCCTGTGAAATAGAAATAAAAACCATGTGACATTGGTTTACGCCCACTGGAATGGGACTGACAGTACCAAGTGTTGATGAGGAAATGGAGAGACTGAAACTCCTACAGTACTGCTGGGCAGAATGTGAAGTGGTACAGTCACTTGGGGAAACTATTTGGCACTTTCTAATTAGCTTAAACATAACCCTACTGGATGGCACAGCCATCCCACTCCTAGGTATATACCCCAAAGGGTGGACCTTCTTGTATAGGAATGTTCATAACAGCCTTATTTATTTATTTATTTATTTATTTATTTTAAGATTTTATTTATTTATTTGAGAGAGAGAATGAGAGAGAGCATGAGAGGGAGGAGGGTCAGAGGGAGAAGCAGACTCCCTGCCGAGCAGGGAGCCCGACGCGGGACTTGATCCAGGGACTCCAGGATCATGACCTGAGCCGAAGGCAGTCGCTCAACCAACTGAGCCACCCAGGCGCCCAACCTTATTTATAATAGCCAAAGACTGGAAACAACTCAAGTATCCACCAAGATGGGGATGTATAAATAAAAGGGATATGTTCATAAAATTGATTACTACTCAACAGCAACAACAACAAAAAACAATTGATCCATACAACATGGGTGAATCTGAAAAATTATGTTAAGCAAAAGAAGCCAGAGAAAAAAATTATAATAGCCCATGATACCATACACTATCACTTTCTATGGTGATAGAAATCAGAGTAGTGGTTGCCTCAGATTCGGGAGAGGGCAATTGGTTGGAAAGGGAGAGAAGGACACTTTTTATAATCATATCTGGGTGATAGCTACCTGGCTGCATATATTTATTAAAATTCATCAAGCTGTATCCTTAATATTTCTGTGTTTTACTGAATATGAGTATTCAGTAAAATATCACTAGCATGAAGAAAGGCAAAATAAAATGTTAAAAAGACCAACTGAAGTATGTTTGTGTTTCCAAAAAACTGTAGAACACTTTGGTGTGTGTTTGGAGGTGCTTATTATTTGGTTCCCCACCCCTCCCGCCCCCCCATTTCCATCCGTAGATGAGCTGGTTAGGTAGCTTTGAGTAGGTGACATCATCAGGAATGTGATACAATATCGTAGTGATCTTAAATGAGACCTGGCAGCCTTAAGATGTGCCCTGCTTCGGGTAGAGGGTTTATTATCAAGCTGGGGGTTGGCAAGAAGGGTACATTGGAGTTTTGCATTTCAGTGGCTTGGGGCCATCACAGAGACAAGGGGAGGAAAAAAACAGAAAATTTCCATCCCCTTTTATTTTGTCTGGTGAGTCACCTCTTTTAAGATGTGATATATAGAGATTGTTAGGGATTTCTATTACCATGTTGACTTTCTCCCCCAACATTTTATTACGAAAACATTCAAACGTAAGCAAAGTTAATAGTGTTTATATACTCACCACCACACAGATCCTACTGTTAACAGTTACTCACTTCATCCTCATATCTGTCTGTCCCTCTGTCCATCAAGTAACCTATTTTTTTTTAAGTGGTTCCACACTGGGCCCCCCAGTGCAGGGCCCAAACTCATGACCCCGAGATCCAGACTTGAGCTGAGATCAAGGATGCTTGCTTGACTGAGCCACCCAGGCGCCCCGATCTATTTTAAAATGCATTTCAAAGTTTACTTTCCCCTAAAGACTTCAACACGCATATCATTCACTAGAGTTCACTATTTTTTCTTGTTTTTTTTTTTCTTTTGCTTTAAAATTCATACAGTGAAATTACATGAATCTTAAGGATACATAGTGTGTTTTTAATAGTTTTTAATTTTTAAAAAAATTTTTAATTTTATTATTTAAAGAAAGGGAGTATCACTCTTAGAATTCCATTGGAACAGGTCTTGGTTTCAGTATCATGTAGTCAGTTCTAGTAACAACTTCAGACTTCTGGTATTCAAGTCACATTAAACAAGATTTAAACCATGGATTTAACATTGTGACTTTATTTATTAAAGATTTTGTTTATTTATTTGACAGAGACACAGTGAGAGAGGGAACACAAGCAGGGGGAGTGGGAGAGGGAGAAGCAGGCTTCCTGCGGAGCAGGGAGCCTGATGCTGGGCTCGATCCCAGGACCCTGGGACCATGACCTGAGCCGAAGGCAGACGCTTAACGACTGAGCCATCCAGGCGCCCCTAACGTTGTGACTTTAAATTACAAAATACAAATCATAGCCTTATGGGAACTAATATTCTATAGATCCAGTGACTTGGAAATACTGTAAAAAGTTATTCAATTAGGATTTCAGTAGAGATCCCCAAAGGTTATAAGATTGAATAATAGCCTAACCTTGCTAACCACACAGCGAACAGAAACCTGCCAGTTGAGGTTGCTAGCTGGAGGATGATAATTTAACAACTGTGGGGAGGACTTGGGGTAGGATCCGGCAGAGGTGGTAGTCATAATTGGAGACTCAAATACCCAGTTAGTAGAGCATGAACTACATGTATATCTTTGTCAGTGTCTGTCCATCAAGTCTGACTTGAAGTTTGTGAGTCTGGCTGTGCGTATTTCAGCTATAGCCTTAGCCGTGGTCACTGAGTTTGGCTTAGAGTCATTATCTTCTCTTGCTTGTGACATGGAGGGTGTAAAGCCAGGTGAACTAGTTTCTCCGCCGGCTAATTTTTCACCCTGCTTTTCTTTGTTACAGAGGAATGATATCGCCATGGCAATTACAAAATTTGATCAGTTTGACTTTCTCATCGATATTGTTCCAAGAGATGAACTGAAACCGCCAAAGCGTCAGGTGAGCTGGGAAGGCCTCGCTCCTGCTTCTGACCGAAGAGCACCTTGCATACTGGTGTCAGATATGCTCCTTTTCCTCTCTCAGCTCAAGTCATTTGCTATTCCTTTTGCTTTTCTTTCTCTAGACCAGATCCATCCTTAACATCTCCCTCTGTTACTCATTTATGGATACTTTTAACTCAGTGCCTCTGAGGTAGTATTTCAGTGAAAGTAGACAAAATGAGAAAGACAAGTTACAAACAGTAAAGTGAAGCTCTTTTCACGGTACCCGAGGGAGTCTCTCAGAGTTCTTAACCTGGGATGGGAGAACATTCCCAGCCAGGTACAGATTTTAGATTTTCAAGATTTAAAGAAACAGCTTCTCTATGTGCACAGTGGTGTTTGGAGTGAATGGACTTGGGTTTTCTCTTACTCTGGATTGCGGTTCTCTGTGTAGTGCTCGGGCTATACATTAGATCACCTGTTAGGGTTTAAAAAATACTAGCGTCTGGGTTTTACCCCACATCAGCTGAATCAGAATCTGAGGGGGAGGCCCAGGCCGTAGTACTTTTTAAAGCTTTTCAGATGTGTTTAATGTGCAGCCAAATTTGAGAACCACCACTTAAACTGTTTTCTAAGCAATCACGGGAAAGAATGTGAATATCTGTCTTTGCCTCTCTTTTGCCTGCCCCTCTCCAAAGGTCACACTGATTTTTTTTTCAGCACCTTGGGTGCATCAAGCTCTTAATTGCAATTGTAATAGACTCCTTTCCTGTATAGCTCATTGTTTGAGGCACGCGGATTGCATGACTCAGTAGGTGTGGTTAGAGACACTTGGGGAATAGTGGCAGTGTCTGGCAGGAGCAAAGCTGTGCTTTGTTCTGCTTGCTTTATCTTGTTAATAAAATTTTAAGTGTTTTTAATTAATTATTTCATAATATATTATCCTTAGAACAGAGTCATTCAGTGACAACCATTCTCCTATGCTGTCTCGCACTAATAACCAGTCAGGAAGTGTAGAAGTGGGCATCTTAAAGGACATCTGTAATCCTGACCCTGCCTGGGGGCCTTTGGATCAGCAGGCCCTCTGTCCCCTCCTTACTAGAGCAGGGCGCCTCACTGCGGCTCCGTTCTTTCTGGGCAGTCTTTGCTACTGTAAACATCCTTGACTGGAAGCTGTAAGGTGTTCAGAGGAGCTTTCAGTCGGATGTTTACAGCGGCAGGCTGCCACGGTCGTCCCCAGCTGCGCATCGCCTTTGAAACCATTGCAGGGTTGTGCCCATGGGCTCAGTTCCTCCTCTTGGTGTGTTTCCCTCCTCTCTGAGAAGTCCGTACAATGAGAACTCAGACCACTTCTCTTCCTCCAAAACAAATGCTACCACACCATTGCTCTCCTTTTTGGAATTTGTTTCAGAAGCTCCCTTTAAAAACAAGGTGGTGAGCCCTGTGACAATCAGGCCTTGTGCTAACTCTTGCTCATTCTCTGTGGGCTGTCTGCTGAACCAACTGGCTGGAGGGGAGGGTCATGTTCTGTCCCTTCCTCAGGTCCTCAGTGCCTGGCTCTCTCGGGGTGTCAGGCAGCTCCTAGTTCCATCCTAGCCTGACTCATAATGCTGTGATCCATCTCCTTTTAAAGTTTCTAGCTGAAACAGCTCCTTGCTGCCTGGATTCAGGTCTTTGTTAGGTGTTCAAACCATTGATTGGTGTCCTTTTGGGGACAGGTGCTGCCTGGCCTTTGAAAGGTTGAGATTGCTGAAAGCTGGCCTGAAATTCTAAGATAGCACTTTTAATCCTCTGTAGACATGAAGTTTTCTCCAGTTCCAAATTGGCTGGCACCTCCTTAAGTCCTCTAAAAGCGCCTACTCTCCAAAACTCACCCTTTCTGAAGGAGGCAGCAGTTCATTTCTGGCTACTGAAGCGAATGTACTTTTTTCAGTCTGGAGCTGGCTGCACAACTCTGTAGTGATGGCCTGAGGCTGGGATGCTGCTCATTCTCTGACGTTTGTCAGTCTCCCCTTCTGAAAAGATTCCAAGAGCAAGCCCTCTGGTCAGGGAGGCCACTGCGAAAGCTGGGCAAGTGCCCCATTCTGGATTGATCCAGTCATTCGAGATTGTTCTAGCACAGGGTGTCATTTCCCACTGCTGGAGAAAGAAACTAGCCAGAAATATTGAGTTGTAGATCTAAGGTCCTTGACTTTTCAGAGATGCTTGGAAAATTTCTCTTGTTCTTTGGGGAAGCAAGTAAAGACTATTCAGAAGCAGGAGATAGTTGAGGCTGACTTCTACCCCACTAAAGCTATGAGTTGAAAGTTCCTGCCCATTGAAATGTCATTGTCTCTTCACCCATTTCTTTAAACCAAGCATAATCATTCCCTTGCTAGCTTGCCCTCCATTGGCCGGATGAATCTTCATAATGCAAACGAACCTTAGATGTGCCTCCTTCCATTCCAGTGATTCAAGAGCAGTCATGCCTGGTGCTCACACACCAGCCTAAGCGCCTCTACTTGGTACTTCCAGAGTGTCCTCGGCACTGCCTAGGTCATAAACAACTAAGAGGGTGTGGTAGGCAGTATAGGAGAAGCTCTTTACCTGCGGCCACAGTTTTTGGCAAGGAGTATTTTGGTTTCTGAAAGGGTTGCTTCAAGGATTTGCTTTTTGTCTGGCAGCGAGAGTGTATTCACTTGCAGGTCAGTTGCAGTGAGAGAGAACTGGAGAAAGAACAGTCCCAGGTCGGGGCTGGGAAATGTCAGTTTCTCCCTCCTCCCCGACTTCCTTCAAATTGTTTCTGGGGGTGTCTCAATCCTCTCTACCCTCTCATTTACCCAAGAGCTTTTGTAAGTTAGGTCTAGAGTATAGTGATTGATGTTTTTTATAAAATGGGAAGGACGTTCTCAGTGGAAAATAAATATATTGAACCTATTTCAAGAGCTTTAAAAAGAGCAGTTGGCCTCTGTTTCTTGGGTAAGGGAGGGTATCAGTATTTATCCCTTCCATAGCCAAGAGCTAGTTGACAGGCTGACCTTTATTTATAATGGTGAAAAGTTGAGTTGAAAAGAAGGTGCTGTTGTTACAGTTACATTATGCTGGAAACAGACCTAGACGAGAATAAAGGGGACCTCCTTTTTTTTCTGCCTCAGTATGGTTACGTTCAGGGTTCAGACTGTTTGGGTCTAAAGCACAGAACACATTACCCTAGAAAATTCGTTCATGTTTGAGGACTAGCTTGGAAACCCAGAATGTTAAAAGTGTTTGCTGAGGCTGGGTGGGTGGCCATTAGGGGATCTTTTGATGCCGAGACCCCAGTTCCTGAAAGGCTAGTTGTCAGCAGTCCTAATTCTAGTATCCGGGGCCCCCAGTCCCCAGGCAAGCCCTGTTCTGCAGGGGTTACAAGCTTCTCCCCACACCATGGCCACAGAATCCTAGAGGTAGCAAGAGAGAGTTTAGGTACTCTTTTCTGTTGGTAAAAGCTGTTGCGTTCAAGAGAATATGTCATACTACCAACTTAAGTTTTAGAAAAGCACTTTCTGGGGCACCTGGCTTGCTCTCAGAGGAGCATGCGACTCTTGATCTTGGGGCTGTGAGTTCAAGCTCCACATTGGATATAAAGCTTACTAAAAAAAAAAAAAACAAACCACTTTCCTACCCGCAGCTCTGTGCCTGACTCTATAAATCTGTCCATCATTCAGCAACCTCTTATTGAGTGCCTTCCTATAAGGGAATGAATGACTGGAACATCGAAGAGCAAGAGAGAGTTGAGCCCTCATAGCACTTTCACTCGAGCAGGGAAGGCAGTGAATTTTGACAAGCAAGTACAACAAAGTATGGTGGGGAAGGGACTGTGCACCAGAGATTGGGGCACTTAACCTAGTGAGGGTATGCGGTCATTACCAACTGTGTCACTGTCACTGTGGGGAGCTTTGAGGCAGTCCACAGCATCTCTATACCTTGGAGAAATGTCTTTTCCTCTTTTCTTGAACCTGGCAAACTTAGCCCAGAACAAGGCAGTGAGTAAATTAAGCTAATTTTCTGCTCAGCCAGCCCAAGTGGTTGTATGTTTCTGTTGTTTTTGTTGTCCCAGGCAGGGGCACCGTGTGTCGCAGGGCCCTCCGGAGCAGACGCCGATCTCTGTGTCAGTGGTCAGGGGCCTATCAACCCCGGACCCTCAGGCTCTAACCATGCCGTAGTGTGTGTAAACATCCTACACTCTCAGCTGTGAGCTCAAGGTGGCTGGGAGAGGGTTGTTTACTCCTTCTGCCATGGAAAACGTCAGCTGAAGAAGGAACGGTCTCTTCACCCAGCAGATCGGACAGAATGCGGCCTCCCTAGTCAGCCAAGGCAGCCCTCCCAGCGGAGAGCTGTCCCTCAGGCCCCCTGGGTTGCGCTTCTGTGGCTAAGTACAACCAGAACCAGATACGACACTGGATATACGTGGCCCTCAGTGACCCAACTGTGAAAAGCTGGGCACTTGCCTACCGGTGCTCTCAATCCTGACATTCAATTCTAAAAATCCAGCCCAGGAAAAGCCCTGTTTCCCTTTCCCCTGCTCTGTCCCTCCAGAGCTGGTGGGCACCAAATAAGGAGAGTGCTGCCTATCTGGGAGATTGGGGGCCAGCCCGAGAGCTTGATGTTTGGGTAGCATCTTCCCAGTGCTCGCAATTAGCACCGTCTGCAGATCACAGGCCTTGACAGCGTTTACTGACAAGCACTGCTGGTGCGTGGTTTTTAGTTACAGTAATTATTTGCCCATTTGCAGCTCATCACGCAATGGGTGATTACTCTGTACTTCTGAAAATTGGCTGTATGTGTTGTGAAGCCTATGGAATCTGTTATTTTTAGTTTGATTTAGCACAACTGGTCTCTTCGAATTCCACTTTCCCTTGGCTTCAAATGTGGAGAGCTCAGCATTCAGCAGGCAACTGCACAGAGTCCGTTTGGGGGAAGAATGGAAATTCACTGTGGCGGCTGCTGAGTCCGTTCTTTTCCTCTTACCTGCCTCTCCTTCTACCCCACAGGAGGAGGTGCGCCAGTCTGTGACTCCTGCTGAGCCCGTCCAGTACTACTTCACGCTGGCTCAGCAGCCTGCCGCCGTCCAAGTCCAGGGGCAGCAGCAGGGCCAGCAGACCAGCAGCTCTGCGACCACCATCCAGCCTGGGCAGATCATCATTGCGCAGCCGCAGCAGGGCCAGGTCCGTGAGCAGCACGGAGTGTCTGCCAGCAAGCCCGCGCCACTTAGGTTTGGGACGGGGAAGGGCTGGCCTGGGTGGAGAGGCAGGCCAGTCATCAGAGGGCCCTGGAGTTGAAGCCTGGAAACTTGGGCTTCTCCCCACATTCAGACACCCAGGTGATGTGTGACCCTAACCTCTCTGGGCCCTGGTTTTCTCAGGGTCAAATGAGGAGAGTGCAGTGAATAAGACGCTCTCCAGGATCCCCATGAGCTAAGGGAAAACGTCTGTATCGTTCCCCCATGAAGAGTAGTGACATCCCTGTCGGAGGTATTGTAAGTGGACCCCACGTCTGCTCTTTGTGCCTATGCTGGAATTGGACTGTGTTACACCTTTAAGGAGGAGATTAGGCATTGTTACCAGCTTGCATCCCTCTCCTCCCCTTCTCCCTGTCATTTCTCTGTTGCACCACAGTTGTGTCAAGGGACTTTCTCTTTTTACAGTAGCGATCAGAATATTCTCTCTCCCCAGTGGTATTGTTGTGAAAGCAGTAACATCCATGTTTGTTGGGGATCATGAGAGGCTGTAGAGAACTCTGCTCTCTCAGCTCTGAATCCAATTCCTGGTCAAGCATTAATTTATTCACCAAACATTGACCCTATTCTGTGTGCTAGGGATAAAAAGCATGAATAAAACTCCCTATTTTTAAGAATTTTCACCATCTAGTAAGGTACAAATACTTAAAGATTATAATACCACACGTGGGAAGTGTAAGAAACACTTAGGGATGTGTAAAGGGTGTTATGGGATCACATCAAAAGGGATATCTAGGGGGTGCCTGGGGGGGCTCAGTCGGTTAAGCGTCTGCCTTTGGCTCAGGTCATGATCCCAGAGTCCTGGGATCGAGTCCCGCATCGGACTCCTTGCTTCTCCCTCTGCCTGCCACTCCCCCTGCTTGCTCAGTCTCTCTCTCTGACAAAACAAAACAAAACAAAAAACTAACAAAACGTGAGGGAAGTGGTAGAAGCGGATGTCAGAGAAGGTTCCCTGAAGGGAATAATACGAATCTTAGAGGGAACAATGGCAACAAATCAGATAAAGAGGGGAAGGAGGGCTTTCCAGAAGAGAACACAGCACAGGCAAAGGCTTGGAGGTGGGAAACCGCACAGGGAGTGGTGGGAGGGTACAGTCAGCACGGGGGATATCTAGGCAAGTCTGAAAAGAGAGGCAGAGGACACATTGCCGATAGCCTTGTATCTGTGGGTAAGGAGCTGGGTTTGCCTAGAAGAAAAAAATTGGGGTGGAGGTAGACTTAAATATTAATTAAGATTTTAGGATTTATTCCCTGTCTCACTTTTTAATCCATGTAACAGAAGTTTTAGGGTGCTTTCTCTTTGCCAGACACTGTGCTAGGCAGGAGGGGTTCAGAGATAATCGATTGCAGCCCAGTCCCTGCTTCAGGGCGTTCACCATACCGTGATGCCTAAGGGACCTTCTTTGGCTAATGCTTGTGCCTCTGCGGTGGTGAGAGCTTTCCCTGCCGAAGGCTTTATCCCTTTACGGAGCAAACTTCAAGGGAGTCCACCAGGGGCAGGCTCTGATTGGCTGAACATCCTAAGCAGCTCGTGGCTGTTGTGCTCTGACAGCAGGACACACCATACGTGATTTGACAGCTGTCATGCTAACACAAGCCTTTATTTTCCTGAAATGATTTAGAAATACCTTGGAAATCCTCTTGGGAAAATTGAGTTGATAAAGTTCAGTGATGAGTTGGCAGTATGCATTTTTTTTTTTTTTTAGTCAACAAGAATTTCATCTCTCTTTGCCACCTCAGAGGAGAGCTGGAGCTGATGAGGCTTGCAGGGATGAAGTTGGTCTCTCCCAGTGTCTCCCAGCTTTTGTTCTCTGTCCTGCTGGTTCAGGGTGGCCTTGTGCTGTGTCACCCCTCCTTGGACCTGTAGTAATGGCTATTTCAAGTTGAGTTCAGATAACCTTTGCAGGACAGAATACTTACTAAAGTTGGAAGGAAAGCATATTTTGGTAAAGTGAATCCTGTGTGTTCTGTCATAAAATTGGAAACTTCTGTTCCTGGAGGTCGGGGGAATAGGCTGAGTTGAGAATGCTGTTGTGAGAATGGGAGGTGTTTCCTGTTGTCCTAGCCTCCCACATGTGTTTTTACATAGATCCCTCTGTCCTCTTTCCTCCCGACCTCCAGGTCATAGTATTTTCTCCTTACCTAGTAATCCTGTGAATGTCATCTGTAGTTCCTAGAACACGTCCCCTTCCCCTGTAACCTCAGATGCATAGGAGACCTGTGCGGTCAGAAACGTAAGAGCATCAGAATAGCAACATCGATAGAAGCCCAGGAGCCACTGAGACTCTCATCGTCTTCTTACTGAAGTGATTCTGAATGCAGAGTGGGGAGGCATCATACCCGAATCGGGGCATTGGGGGTGTAGGTGTGGTTTAAAAGATTCCACCCTCCTTCCAGCACCATGACCACCACCCTCTACCCCCACCCCCATCACCATGCCCCACTACTCCCCACCCCCTCCCCCAGCAGATGAACAGAATGTTCTGGGCTCCCTGCTCTAGGTAGTCTGTAAAGATCACATCTGAGGCTAAAGTTTTGAAATTTGAACAAGTGACTGACCAACCCTTTTGACAGTTCAAGTCTACCATCGCTCAAAGGAGTAAGTTTCATGGGACTGCAATCCATGAAGTGTGTATGAGAGACACATCTGCCAAGTCATGTACATTGGACAGAAATTTCTTAAATCTAAGGTTCCTGTTTTAGAGAGTTCTTGCTTTGTTAAATTCTGGTGTTTAGGGGTAGCCTCGGTTAGCATCCAGGTCTTAGCAGTGTTTACCTCCCCCCTTGGGAAGCTGTGCTTGGTCCAGAGCAGCCAGCTGGTCAGTGTGGGCTGGAGTCATTCTGCTGCTTGCGTGAAGCCAGCGTGCACTTCATTTTCCTTCCAGTGTCTGGCATGCCTAGAAAGGAGTCCAAGGTCCTGAACTTAGTAAATTTGTCCTGACCCCACTCTCCATTTAGTTGACTCTCCAGATTCACCTGCTCCAGACTTGACTCTGGCCATGTCTTAAGGGAACTATCATGGTTGCTTTGGATTCTTTTGTACCATATGTGCCTGTCACTGAAGGGGCTTTGGGAAGCTACAGCATTTGAACCATAGAGATGTTTGGGGCCTGGGAAGATACTCTGTACTATGAGCCCAAAAATGTGTATGGCTTTCTCCCATCTTTTATTTTGGAGAGTAACTTTAGCAGTGCTCTAGGCCCAAAGGACTCTTGAGTATTGTTGATTAGTGTTAAGATGAGCTTAGGCGTCCATGGAAGGGGTTTGCTCCTCATCAACTGCTCGTCGTTAACCCCTTGGTAAGCCTAATGGCTCTGAGTTGGGGTTGAATCACCTTTCTCATCACTCTTCTTTCTAGACCACGCCCGTGACCATGCAGGTGGGAGAAGGTCAGCAGGTGCAGATTGTTCAGGCTCAGCCCCAGGGCCAAGCCCAGCAGGCCCAGAGCAGCACTGGACAGACCATGCAGGTGATGCAGCAGATCATCACGAACACAGGAGAGATCCAGCAGATTCCGGTAAGCCCTGCTCTGGCTCACACCTGCAAGGCGCTGTGCTTCTGTTGTAACGGGAGTGCTTACAGGTCTTAAATGCACACACAGAATATTGTGTCTACCGGGCACACGCGTGTGTGTACACATACATTTCTCTAAACCAGTATCCCTGTTAACCCAGACCACAACTTGCTTCAGTGTATACTCACTGCTTTCCTTTAATCCAGCTCAGGTTCGCCGCTGTGGGGCAGCTTCTCTCGGTTTCCCTGCACTCCACCTACGCAGAGAATGCTCGTAACCACTCTTCCATGCCAAGACCCAAAGGCCCTGTGAGGCAGTCCTGTCTTTTGATTAGCAGAGAATAAGAGGGAGGTGTACAGGGAAGGCCATAAATACACTTGTTGCATATTCATGAGTCAGTTCCCAGTGGAGCCTGCAGCAAAGTGTATTTTTGGCTTTCATTTAACTTATCCATCCCTTCACTGTGGACTGCTGCTTCCTGTGTGCCTTGAGGGATTTCATTTCTTGGATTTGTTGGCTTTTTTACTTGTACTTGCTCTTTTGTTAAAAAAAAAAGTGTCCTGTCTTAACACTTGCCATCTACACATTGGTCATTTTGCCAACCAAAGATGTAGAAAGTGAGTGACATTGAGCAGTCCTTCTGTTTCCTGCCCCTTGCCCTTCCTATTGTAAATGATATGTAGGCAGATAGAGAAACTCGCTTGGACTTGGTTAACCACTTCCTCTTTGAAAAAAGCTCTGTTTTTGGAACTGTTCTTATTAAGTTAGAGTAATAGACCAAGAGAAAACTGAAAGAAAGTGTAGTGTGTGTGTATCTGTGTATCTTTCTGTCTCCCCTCCCACCTTCCCTTCCTTTCTTGGGCTTTTGGTGTACTCTCTCTCTGCTAGAGCGCGCGCGCTCTCTCTCTCTCTCTCTCTCTCTCTCTCTCTCTCTCACACACACACACCCCCCCACACACACACACCCACCCACACCCCCGTCAGTTACAGGTGCCTTGCCTCACTGTCTCAGCCACTAACCCCAAGACCTCTCTTGAATGGTTCTCAGTTTTACATGGGAAGGCGCCAGAACAAGTTCACTTAAGCCAGAGAAGAGTTCCCACTTCGCAGTAACTTTAACTCAGATCTTTTTAACTGTTTTGGGCACAGAACTATAGCACAGATTTGTTGCAGAATTCGCTATACTCAGATACCTTCTGCAGGAGTCTGCATTTCTAAATTCCTTCAGAGTGCTCTCCCCAATAGAGAGGACCTTCACGAAGGAAACTTCGCTTCTCTTTTGAAAACCCAAAGGGCAGGGGCGCCTGGGTGGCTCAGTTGGTTAAGCGACTGCCTTCGGCTCAGGTCATGATCCTGGAGTCCCGGGATCGAGTCCCGCATCGGGCTCCCTGCTTGGCAGGGAGTCTGCTTCTCCCTCTGACCCCCCTCCCTCTCATGCTCTCTGTCTCAAATAAATAAATAAAATCTTTAAAAAAAAAAAAAAAAGAAAACCCATAGGGCAGGCTTTTTGGTCCTGGAGTTAACATCAAAAAGCTACCAGGCTCCCCAGACCTGTCCTTGTGGTAGAGGACTGAGGGCAGAGCATCACCAGATGTCTCAACCTAAGTCTAAAAGAGGAGCTTCTTGCTTCTAACAACTGCTTGGAACTATCTGGCATACAACTTTACAGTCACATCTGAATTTCTGCAAAGACCTCTTCCCAGCTGGGAAATGTAAAATCCCTGTGGCTGTCAGTACACCTTCCTCATTCTTGGGACATGGCTTTCGTCTTTCATCCTGTGTTCCTTGGCTGGAGTTCTGGTGACTCCTGGGACCAGCCACCATCAGTCCCAGCAGATGAGACTTCCCAAGCCTCTATCTGGCTGCCCTCATCCCCAAAAGCAACTTAGCGTTGTTGCCTGGAAGCCACATTATGGGATTTAGCGTGGGGGGCGGGGTGGCAGTCTGGGCCTGCATCACAACTTCCCAGCAGCTCTTGGCATATTCTCAGAAGGAAATGACCGCCCGTCACGATGTCTTGCCCCATCTCTTGTGAACCAGATTCTTAATGGATTTAGATTTTATGTCCCTCCATTTTGCCATAAGTGGACAATTCTGGAATCTGGTCTACCAAGGACTTCCAAGAGCTACACTAACTACCAAGTGTTAGTCTTTTCTTGGTAGCTCAAATCCTCTTTGAGGCCGAAGTTGCAGAGAAGCAGTGAGATTTAACACTGCTTGCAGGAGTGCTTTTCTTAGCCTTTTCCTCATGGAAGTAAAATTCCCTGCAAGGGAATTAGCTCTTGAAGGCGAGGGGAAAACTTGCTCCAGGACAAAGAGGCGTGACTAGTCTGTTCGCCTCAAGAAGCTTACCCTGGCAACAATGGCAGGCTGGGCAGCCAGGGAGGGTGGTGCCTGGGCCCCCAGATAGAGACCAGCCTGTCCTCCTGGCACCACTTTCATCCCCCAAATCCCAAGTGGAAATGTCTGTAGTGCTCTGCTGACTCCCTCTGCTGAGCCACGGTTCCTCTCGTGCAACCAACTGCCTTGGTCTCTCCATTCCTGCTCAAGGCACTGAGACTTTCATGGTACACTGGAGCGTTAAGAGCCTGAGTTAAGGCTTTTAGTGCACAATTAAATGCAGCATGTGGTATTATTGTATTATCTGAGATTTAATCTTAAGCATGAGGGACTCTAAGGGCATTTTTGTAGCTTTGGTTTCCCATGATGGAGTTTTCTGTGAAAGGTTTATTGATTCAGCTTCCCCTTGGGAGGAGTTTGGCCAGAAGCTAGTGCTGAACACCAGGGATCCTAAAAGTCCCACAGACCCCCATTGGTCCTGGCTCTTGGGGACTGAGATAGTGAAGCGGGCCAGCTTTTTCTTCCAAGATGTGCAGCATGGGGTTGGGCAGGACTAGGGCTAGGGTGCGGAGTGACGGCCATCTGCTTTGGGTTCCTGGCAGATGCTGGAGCTCTTCTCAGTATTACATCAGCCATCCCCAGAACTGGGGTAGCAGAGTTTGGAGATAGAGGAGAGAGTGGCCCACACTTAAGGTACAAAGCATTCCGATCATGTCTGACAGTCTTTGGGATAAAATCCTAAGATAAACTGAGCAGACGGCTAAGAGCCAGTGAGTGGATGTTGAGGGTGTGGCCATGCTGTTCCTCACGTATGTGACCAGATCCTCTGGGAATTTTCTCCAAAGTCCATTTAGGGAACATACCCTCTTTTGTGTTTTGTGACTTGCCGGGTGGGGGTGTTACGGCTTTCAGAATAGGTTTCTTTGGAAGGCTCGGGGGTTTGGGGGGACAGTCACCACCTCTGGTTATGGGAAGTTTGCCTGTTGAGGTTGCACTCAGTCTCCTGTATCTGCTTGTCGGCCCTGCTCTAGGTGCAGCTGAATGCCGGCCAGCTGCAGTACATTCGCTTAGCCCAGCCTGTATCAGGCACCCAGGTCGTGCAGGGACAGATCCAGACACTTGCCACCAACGCTCAACAGGTATGTGTCCCAGAGATGCAGGGCTTGGGGAGGGGACCGGCCGGAGCTGCCTTCTGGCTGCAAAGGAGGGCTCAGCAATAGCTCCCTTGCCACCTCACCCTTCAGCAGGAGCCGCCTCCACACTCTGCACATCTGTTCACCCCAAAGGACAGATGGGGCTTATTGGAGGACTGGATTCAAAGCGTGTCTCTTACTATCTTGTTCTTGAGGGACAAAGAAATGCGAAGGAGGGGAAATCTCAGGGACACTTGAAGAAAGCCTGGTGTATGTGTGTGCATGTGTGACAGAGCAGGCGTTCTGACAGCATGCCTCATCGTCAGGCTGAGTTTCCATCTTTAAAACCAAATAGCTGTTGTGTTCTGGCACTCCCGTGTCCTTTGGAAAGCTTGCGTGGATTTTACTTCCTCATGCACACCTAGCCAGAGACTGCCCCCTTCATCTCCTCTCATGCCCTAAGATACGGAAGACTGTTAGCCGCAGGTGCTGAGGGGGTAGCCCCCCTGGGCTTGGGGGTTGGGGGCCATGGGCATCATTTGCAGGGGGTGGGGGATGCTGGTCAAGGGGAGGCATTGTTAATGGATTCTTCTGCCTCAGACCCAAAAAAAGCAGCGATCGTTTAAGAGCTGGACCCGTCTGGCCCAGTTGCATTTCTGGTGATGTATCTATTGACAGTGGTGACAGAGCTGAGTTTGTAGAGCAGGTCTCCAAAGATTTCATTTGGGAAAACAGGAGGAATGAGCCAAAAGCAAGGCTTCGAAGTTCCATATAGTCTCTGGGATCATTTAAAGGGCCCATTCCAGACCCATTCCTTGGCTCACCTAAGGGCCTGGGCTTTTCTCTAACTTCCTTAGGGTTGACTGGCATGGAGTCACATCTCCAGACTGGTCACATCCTTAGGTACCCCTCTTTTTTTAAAAAAACGAAAACAAAAACAAAAGCCTTGTTAAGATTCTAACCTGGGATCCAAAAACTTTTCATGGCATGTGGGTGGGAGGAAATGAGAAGGAGGAGTTTTGGGTTCTTCCGAGGTCAGTTTGGGGACCAGAAACTAAAGCCAGAAAGTGGGGAGAGTCCGGTTTTCAGATAGCGGGGGAGAAGCAAGGAGAGGGCACCTGAGAGCAGTTGGAGTCTGAATTACAACAGATCTTATTTGTGACACATAGTAGGTATTTGGTATGGGTTTGTTGAATGAATAATATGTAAATGGAATTTAAAGGTAAATGAAACTTTCTTCTCAGCTCATGTGAAGGGCAGTCCTGCCGGCCACAGGGCACGGTTGACCTTCTCATCTATGAAGAATACTTCCATTTGTCTCAGGGTCATTCATTTATTCTGCAGACATTACTTGAATACTTTGCATTGGGGGCTGTAAAGACAAAACACAGAGCTTCTGCCCTCCAGCCGCTCATAGACTGGTAGGAGGGGAAGGACCCTAAACAAGGCACAACAGTAAGAAACCCTCTTGAAGTCCTTTCACGCCGGTCCCCTCCTCGCCCCCGACAGCCTCATGGGTAAGCCTGACGGGTGGTGTTTGGCTGTCGTGTGGACGCTCGAGAGGACAGCCCTTACCTGGCAGGTTGGCTGTGATGGTTCCAGGAGGTGGTACACAGAGGACGTCACTAGTCCAGTGTTGGTAGATAAACACACGCACACAAGCACGTTCCCGTCTTCTTCCTGGTCTGCCAGGCTGTGTTGAGCAGCTGGTGCGCTATGACGCAGTTCCACATGGCAGCGCAGTTCTTTTCACATGTACTTAAAATCCCCCGTGAGACTGTAAGTACATGTGGAAAATGGTTTCCTTGCTCTGCCACCTGCTTGGCCCACAGGGCTGCACGTGGCCTGTCTCGGAAAAAGTACTTCATAGGTGTGCCACCAGGGCTTCCAGGGCCAAGGCCACCTCCTTGCCAGGGTGTTTCCTATTCCAGTCAGATAATCTAGGTGATACGGGTTTGGTTCGGAGCCCACCTTCCAAGAATGAAAGGGACCACTCACCACTCTGCCCCGCGTTTTGCAGTCTGCATTCAATGGCTAAAAGACTCTGGGGTTTTCTGTCTCAGCCGGAAATGTGGGGCCTTGCCATGTTAGCACCTAGGAGCTTGCAGTGAGGGGCGGACGTTAAGAGAGGCGGTGGTGGAGGTCGTATGTAGTTCACGCTCTGGGGTCCTGTCCTCTGTGCGGTGCCAGCTCTGAGTAGCCTTCGGTAGTAGGGGAGCGGGGATGACCCTTGCTTTCCTGCTACTCCTTCAGCCCTGTTCTATGCCAGGCCTCATTCTGGGTGCTCTGTGCATTGTCTCATGTGGTCTTCACCACCCTCTCCTGGTTGTGGGCTGCCAGAGGGGTGTACCAGGCCCCACAGCTGACCTGCCTCCTCTGCCTTCTTGATTCCTGCAGATCACACAGACAGAGGTGCAGCAAGGGCAGCAGCAGTTCAGCCAGTTCACGGACGGACAGGTAGGACACCCAGTCTGGGCAGGGGCCGGGGGTGAAGGGTTGTCGGGGGTAGCTGCTGAGATCTCTGGGTTTGGATGCTTAGGGCAACTGTCCCATTTTCTGTTAACGAGTGGGCAGGAATTTTTGTTAAAACAAGTAGAGTCTTTAATTCGGAGTGCCAATCCTTTAGATTTAGGCTTGTGGGAGCTGAAAATAATCTTATAGTCCCAATCCCCATTTTACAGATGAGTAAAAACTGAGTCCTAGAGATGAGAAGTGTCTGTGCTCACTCAGCTCTTCATTGCAGAACCAGGACTAGAATGCAGGTCTTCTGTTTCCCTTTCTAGGACTTGTTCTTTTTCTAAGCTAGGCTGCTTTTTAATAGCATGGATTAGTTGAAATGCAGAGAACATGTGACCTCTCGAGCTCTCTTGGTGCCTGGAATTCAGTAATTCTAAACTCCTGTGAGGCAGGAATCTTTCCCTTTCCCTCCGCCTTTTCCCTCATACTGACGGTCCCAGAGACCCCTGAATCCATGACAGGATGACACGCCCAAGCCCATGTTCTCTGCTGCCCAGAAGGGAGAGGAGCTGGCATCAGGACCCACCTCTGGCCCCTGCCCCGTACCACGTGCTAGGCTCACATGCCAGGGCTCTTGTGACGGGGGTGGGGGGGCTCTTTGCCTGTGGGCTTTTTGGGGGGACACCTGAGAAGTCAAGTAAGTGTCCGTTTGGCTCTGTCCTCCCATAGTGGCTATGTGAGCTGCTTCTCAGTGCCTCACAGGTCTTGGCTCAGTAAGTGTTTAAACCCAGGCCCCCTCCTCGCAGCACCCATATAGGAAATGCAGGCTCAGTGTAGCCTCAGCCTGAGCCAGATACTCTGAGGAGAGGAGGAGGAGGGGGGTAATCCTACTGCCCCTGCTAGTGAGGAGTACCAAGAGTTGGGGAAATGCGGACTTCCAACCTGCTGGTACAGTGGTTCGAATTGCTTGTGTTTGTCACAGAGGAACAGCGTGCAGCAAGCTCGAGGCTCTGAGCTAACGGGAGAGGCAGAGCCCAGAGAAGTGAAAGCCACAGGAAATGCAACTCCCTGCACCTCTTCCCCGCCCACCACACCCCCCCCCCCCCCACCGGGCCGGAGCCTCCTGTGTCTGCTGCTCCCAGCCCCAGCAGAGCTCCACATCCCCTCCTCCCTCCGACGCCTTACAGTGGGTGGTGGTTGAGGTAGCTGGGGCCCCCAGCCAACTCGAGGCCCCTAGGGAGCTGCATGCCCCTCTCCCAGGGGTGACCTCACTCTCTCCTCTCCACCCCTCGCAGCAGCTCTACCAGATCCAGCAAGTCACCATGCCTGCCGGCCAGGACCTCACCCAGCCCATGTTCATCCAGTCAGCCAACCAGCCCTCCGACGGGCAGGCCCCCCAGGTGACCGGCGACTGAGGGCCTGAGCTGGCGAGGCCAAGGACACCCAACACAGTTTTTGCCATACAGCCCCGGGCGATGGGCACAGCCTCCCTCCCCAGAGGACCCGGCCGACCTCCGCGCCTCCTGCAGGGCTAGGACACTGGCGCACCACACCCCACGCCTGGGGGCCAAGAGTCTCCAACAGAAAGATGCAATATTTTTTATTTCCTTTTTTCCACTTTTTCTCCAAGGAATCACTATTTCAGTATGTTGAGCTGTGTGTCCAATGCTATGAAATGAAAATATTAAATAACATATTTATGGCATTTTCTTGAAGAGTGTGGTTGAAGAAATATTTCTTTTGTTTTCCTTTTTTTTTTTTTTTTTTCAATTCTTACCGCCACTTCTTTTCAGGAGCAAATCTCCTCAGGGGGGTACGTTACCTCCTGACTCTTGGAACAGCTGCTGCCCCCAGGATTTGCCACCTTGTTCTGCCCTCAGATTGAGTTAGGTGACGGCGGAACTTCCTGTTCACTAGTGGTCCTCTCCTGCGACCCTGCGCTTGGCCCAGAGCTCTGTGTGTTTGCACCCAAAGGCCATGGAAACATTCCTTGCATTTAAGAGATGAACTCATTCGCCATGGAGAGTGGATGGTTTCATTTCCAGACCCTTCTCTCCCAGGGACCCAAGGAGACTAGAACTTTGTACATTTGCCTGTCCCCACCCCCATTTTTTATTTTTAAAATGCATTAAAAATTGTGCTAGTCTCCTTTGCTGCATGGACTTCAAACTGCATGAAATGCAATAAATCTCATTTTAGGTAATTTAGAGTCTGGGTTTCTGTGTCTGGGGGCATTCATGGGACCACTTTGGGAAGCTTGGGAAGGCTTGTTTGCCCTCCGGTTGGGTGTCTATGAAGGAGGGGGACTCTTGTGAGGAGGGGACTTCCAAAGCGAAGCGAAGTTATGCTACATCTGATTCAAATGGAGGTCTTCAGCTGACTTTGAAGATGAACTACATCAGAATCTATTTGCTGCTCAGAGGTGCCTGCCTGCCTTACTTAGACTACCGCAGGTGGGCCAGATTCAGCTATGTCCTGCTGGCTTGTTGAGGGTCAAGAGAGCATCTCTCACGGAAGAAACTGTCGCTGTCCTTCAGACAAGTCCCTCCGCTTCTGCCGTGACACGGACTGGCATCCTGAGCTGCCTGCTGTGGCCATGCCCACTCCAGAGGCATGGTCTCTGGCACGGTGAGCAGCCCAAGCTCCTTGTCAGCCAGCAGCAGGCCAGAAGGCTTCTAGAGCCGGGGCCCACTTCCTAATCATCGAAGCAGGAAGAACAGAGCATTCCATTTCTTCGTTGGCTTTCATTGGCCATGGAAGCCAGCAGTGAGCCACCTTCCTAACCTTCACCATGCCATCCTTCCACCGGGATGAGGCCTGTTGTCATGGGAAGATCAGGGAACTGAGTGCCAGGAAAAGTAGGTATTAATTTCTTCTCTGAAGGTAATGTGCCATAAGACCTTGGACAACTCCCTTCTCTTTGGACTATCTTAAGGGGTGAGGTGCGGATAGGGAAGGGGCTTTGATACTAGGCGATTGCAAGTCTCACCCTGATACCCTGGTGATTCTCCCACCAAATGCCCCCCACTGTCAGCCATGGTAAGTACTTGGACATCCATCATCTACTCATTTTCAGTCATTTACCTAAGTGTACCTTTCTTCATTCCACAAGAAAAATTAAGATGGCTTGCATTGAAAATACACACAATGAAACAATAAAATATGACAGATTAGAATTAGGAAAAATTGAGTGGGAAATCGGGATCATAAAAAGCAAGAACACAAATATTCTGGCCATAATACAGACCTACATAGTTGTTAGAATTCTATTTCACATTTGACTCTGGGCTTCCTGGCCGCCAAAGCAGAGAGAAAGATGAGACCAGGTAAGAGATTCATACTATAAAGGGAAGAAAAATAACACTCTCTTGCAAAAAGCAAAGATTTTCTTAGTTTTGAGGCTTGGGATACATGGTGCCCCTCCGGTCGTATCTTGGGAAGAGAAGCAGGTGGTACTGTCATAAAAAGTCAGTGGGTCTGCCCCACAGGCTTCTTCCTGACTCCCAAGTTCAGTGCCAACCTCCTTCCTGTATCCAGTTCTCTTCGTTCTCGCTCTGAACTTTTTCTCTGAAGGGGATCATCTGGCCTTTCCCACTGTCCTGTGGGAAGTCTCAGTGAGACATGCAGATAACTCCTGAAAGCCCAGCCCCATGGGCAGAGAGGCAAGCTTGGGGGGACCCTGGCCTCAGAGGAAAGGCAGCAGGTCGGCTCTTTCATTTCCTGGCTGAGCCCCCACGTTGAGGCCACAGCACTGCCCCACCTTGCTGCTCTTCAACTCGTTCCTGAAAACCCAAGTAGTTGGGTTTTCACACCAGGCAGTGGGGCCCTGTTTCCCACGGATTTCCATTCTTACTTTGGAGATGCTTCGATCAGTTGTGATTGGCAAGCAGCTTTCTGACTGAGCACGTTCCCTTTAAATTTCCCCGCCAGCAGGGCCCATCTGGGTGTAAACAAACACTTCAGTGCAGCCCAAGAGAGCCCCTATCTAATCCCCAGCACGATCCCCTTACATCCGGAGCATGCTTTCAACATTTTTCCTAGCACTTGAAGCAACCGTCCTCCCAGTGATCTTCAGGTGACCCTGCAGGGGAGACAGGAAGAGGGATCATGATCCTGTGTTACAGTTGGAGACGTGGGAGGCCCAGCAAAGTGCAGGGACTTGCCCAAGGTCACTCCATCAATTGGGGTGGAGCTGAAGCCAAAATACAGGTCTCCTGACCCGCTGTGCATACAGAGTGGCTTTCTGGCCGAAGGTGGTGGCTGTGGTAGTGGGTGTAAGAATAAGGCTTTACTAAATGTGAGCTGTCTCCTTTTATTCTTCCTCCCCCAAACCATTGGCCCAGTCTTGAGTATATGTGGAATAAATAAAGCAATTTGATCTGGTGTGTGGACAGCTGGTGGTTGGGATAACTGATGCCCGAGACTGGAGGCCCCTGGGATTAGGAACAGACCACCTGGCCAGCCTCCTTGCTACTCAGTTCTGCTGAGGCCACAAGGGGGCAGCATGCAGCATTTCCCCAAGCCTCAGGGAGGTGCCCTGTCCAACACTTACCCCAACTTGAGACAGTTCTAGGAACTACCAGGGTCCTAGGTCCTGAACCCCCTCTTCCGTAAGACCCTTAACTTTTGAAGCCAGGGGAATCCCTGGGGCAACTGAGGGCTGGAAGCACTATCCAAGTGTTACATCAGGGTAGGTTCTCAGATTTTATTTATTTTTTAAGTAATCTTTATACCCAACATGGGGCTCGAACTCATGACCCCGAGATCAAGAGTCACATGCTCCACCGACTGAGCCAGCCAGGCACCCCGGTTCTCAGATTTTATAAGGACTTTCTGACAGTCCAAATTCATTCAAGGCCCTTCTTAATTCCCCAGCTTTATGTCTTTCCACTCTCCTCTCTCCTGCACTCTTTGCACACTCGGTTACTCACTGGTCCCTGAGCTCACCTGCCTGTTTTCAGAATGTACTGGCCCCAGTGCCTGGAATGTCCTTTTATTTCTGTTCCACTTACTGATCTATACATCCATCAAGGCCCCATTTAAATGGCCCTTGCTGAGAAACTTCTAACTCCTGGGGCAGAGTCTGCAAAGACCTCTTCCATGCTTCTATAGCAATGTCTACAGCCTCGATTATTCATGCTCGTATCCATAGTCATTCAGCAGATATTTCTTTGGCACTTCCTGTGTATCAGAAATTGTTTGGAACGTTGTAAAAACAGCTAAAAATTAGCCGGCTGAAGCTTGGGCTTTCGTGGAGCTTATATTGGGTTGGGGGCTGGGGGAGAGGGTGAATGGGAATGGGAGAGAGAGAGACAATAAACACAAGACGGGCTCTGAAGAAACCCCCTATCACTCTGTTAGAATTTTCTGGGTTTGGCTCTCTTCCTCACAGATGGTCCTCCTCTAGTCCAGAGTCTTCTCTGCACCTCCAGAGCCCAGCACAGGGCCCGGCACCAGGAGGATGGCAGTGACTGATGAAGAGTGAATGAACAGATGAAGCATGAGAGACTGTGGACTCTGAGAAACAAACTGGGGGTTCTAGAGGGGAGGAGGGTGGGAGGATGGGTTAGCCTGGTGATGGGTATTAAAGGGCACGTTCTGCATGGGAAAAAAAAAAAGTGAATGCACATAAACCCTTCCCTGAAGACAGGGCCTCCAAACCTGTGCCCATTCCCACTGCTACTCGTTTGTTCTTGCTATTGTTTTTTTTTTCTTGTTAATTTTTTTTTATTGAGCACTGATAATATGCTAGGCAGGCATATCAGATGAAGATTATTCTTTTAAGAAATTTCTGTGTAGGAGGGGTGCCTGGGTGGCACAGTTGGTTAAGCATCCGGCTCTTGGTTTCGGCTCAGGTCGTGATCTCAGGGTTGTGAGATGGAGTCCCGCGTTGGGCTCCACACTCAGCACAGAGTCTGCTAGAGATTCTCCTTCTCCCTCTGCCCCTCCTGCTCATGCTCGCTCGCTCTCTCTAAAATAAATAAATCTTTACAAAAAATTTCTGTGTAGGAGAATATATTTAAGGTTGATACCTGATGGATGATCTCATTTCATCTTCACATCCTCATAAGGTAGGTATTCTCATTTTCTAAGTGAGAAACTGAGGCTCAAAGAGGTTAAGAAATTACCCAAGGGCACCAGCTGGTTGAGTGGAGCCAGGAGCTTCATGAAACCTCCTGTCCCAGCCAGCTCAGCGCCCCTGGTCACTTCCCCTGTGTCCAGTGATTCTTTTCCTAGAGAGAATGAGAGCCCCTGCACTCCCCTCCCCAGGTAGGGACCTAGCTTTTGTCCCACTGCTCCAACCATCCATACAGGCCTCGGTAAGTTGGCATCTGACCTCCCAGGAGGAGGGGACCCTAGAGTGGAGGTCAAGTGCCCGGTCGCATGAGCAACTTGGGTGTGGCCTCCCCAAGGCCCCTGAGCCGGGCTGGCAGTGTTACTCCCTGGCTTCGATGCTGGGCCACTCTCATGACTTAGGAAGAGGGGATGGGAGGGCAGCAAGGCTGGCACCCAGGAGGGGAGAACCTAAGTTGGGTCCCAGCTGGGCCAGGCTGGGCTGGGTTCCTCTGGCTGGCTGGTGCTGAGGAGCAGTCCCAAATAGCCTGGCCCCCCACTGCAGCATGGAGCCCCATCGCCTCTCCAGCTCCCCAAACCTCCCCCAAGCCCCTGTGCCTCTCTCTTTCAAGTGAGGTTCTGAGACAGAAGCTTTCTAAGATCTTGTATTTGCCAAAATGTCTTGATTTTGCCCTTTATTTAAATGATGGTTTGGCAATGTATAGAATTCTAGGTTCAGAATTATTTGCCCTCAGCACTCTGAAGATTCTATTCCATTGTCTTTTTTGGCATCTGTTGTTGCTGATGAGATTCTTACTGTCAATTCAATTATTGGACCTTTGTAGATAAGCTATCTTTTTCTCTCTGGTGGCTTTTAGAATTTCCTTTTTATTCTTGATATTCTACGCTTTGGCTAAAAGGTGTCTAGATGTAATTTTGTTTTGTTTTTAAAGATATCTTACTCGGCAGTCTGGGCCTTTTCAATCTAGAAATTCATGTCCTATTTCTGGAAAGATCTTAGTCACTCTTTCCAGTAACTTTTTCTGGAACTAATATATGCTGGGGTTTCTCATTCAATCTTCGATGTCTCTTTTCTTTCATATGTTTAATCTCTTTATTGTTCTGTGCTTTGTTCTGGAGGATTTCCTT